TGTACCAATGTCGAAACATGCCTCGGTGTTAACAAAACACCTCCGACGCTAGTATGAACTCTACACGAAACAATTCCAAAACATACATGTAACAACTTCGAAACCTGCCTCGGTGAAAACGTCACCGACTCTTGTATAGTCTCTGTCCCAACCAACTCCAAACCTTCCCTGGGCGCCCGCATAAAAATAACTCACCCAGCCCCTTAATCAATCAAAATTATTGATTTGTACTTTAGAGTGATTTGATTGAATGCTATGTATGCTAACGTCATACCATATTTAGTTTTACGTCATTATTTTGGTGAAATTTAAATGTAGACATTTTAAACGGTGTGTCCTTTGACACGTCGTACTATAACGTTGTTGTTTTTTAAAACTTGAAGTTTATAATCTAAGGAAATTTTTACTAAGGTGATCAAAAATTAAGATGATAATGCAAGATATAGAAAAACAAAATGCATTGAGTGGTAAAAATAAAAATTGTAATCAGACGTAATGTATTATGTATAAGTAAACCTTCTTAAATTAAAGAAGTTCAAGTCAAAAAGAAGTTTGATGAAAACTGTAATACTAAAGCGAACATGGAAAGGTAATCTGCTGCAAGACTAAGATATATCTTCGTCTTCCTTCTAGTTTCCTTGTCTTTTTTTATTTAAGGTTAAACATCGCCATGTTTTCAAATATCGCGATGCAAAACACGTTCTCTCCCCTCTTACTTAGTAATCGCCTCCTCTACCCATTGTTTACAACACGCTTACAAAGAAAAAAAAAATATCCCACCCCTCTACTTGAGACATAAAATACAAAAGTGTATTGTGCCTTGCCGTCACAGAAAACAAAAACGGTGGCGTCTAGTGTTGTTAACCATTGTCTTCCTAAATTATTTTTTAACTTGTTAAAGAAATTGAATGTTAAGTTAAGGATTCTGACGCGAATTTTTTTCACAAGGGACGATACTCGTGGCTGTAAACAAGTCTGTTCTAATTTTAGAACAGTTGTCTTTCCTCTCGTTTCTCTATTAGGGAAGACATGTGGGGACGACACGCGACACGCCTTTTAAAATGTAAACAAGCGTGCACGGGGTGCACTTAAAATAAACCCCGCTGCGAAAATGACAACGGGATGGTGACACTTTTTGGAAAACACTCTTTCATGTAAATAAAATAAGGGTCGCTTTTGTTGTCGCCATGATAATGTATACCTATAAGTTCTATCCGCCTTTACCGACCTATTATTAATTTCGCGCGCGCGTGTGCGTGTGTGTGTGTGTGTGTGTGTACATGTATCTCAAAAAAGCGTATCATGTCAACACCTGGGCAACAAGTCCTAGTCAAAAAGGCCTAATTCATTACAGATCTATAGGAAACCCCTCTTTACATGTACTTACGTTAGGGAAAGTAAAATCGGTTGAAACAAAAAAAAATGTATTTAAATATATAGTTATAGAACTTTAAAGTTAACAACTGATGAAAAAAAAATAAATTAAAATTAACATCCACCTCCTCACCCAACTCACTTAGGTGGTGGAATCTTTTACTATATATCATTTACTCCTATTCATGTTCCCCCTTCACCCACCTTCTCCCCCCTTCACCCACCTGTTCACCCTTCACCCAACTGCTCACCGCCCTCACCCATGTTACTATAATCGAGTATGTATTGAACGCTTGTTAAGTTTACAACATAATATTTTAAAAGCCTTTGATGATTTGGAAAAAATAGTTAATAAATAAATAAAATATAAGACTTTTGTTTTAATTTTAGTGTGTGTGTTTGTGTGTGTGTGTGTGTGTGTGTGAATGTGTATACGTTTAGAATGATGGTATAAGGAAACCTTAAAATCAGTTAATGAAAAAAGCCCGAGAGCCACCGCTAAGTGGGGGACCAGCTGTTGCATATTGGCTAATGGATACACAGGCTCGACGCGGGTCGATCTATATTATTTCTTTACTCGATCAAAAACCTATGACACTCTACGTATAACTGTTAGTGGAAAGTGTGGTACCAGCTGTTGCATTTTGGCTACGCCGAGAAGCACATAATGGATTCGATTAATTACCAGACCCCCTGGTGTGGTCGCTTCAGTGAACCCGACATTATTCAATCGCGGGTGTCAAAAAAACGGGCGGGTCGATAAGTAACAGCTGTCGCTAATGAGTAACAGCTGTGGTGAAATGGAAGTCAAGACACAAAGAACTTTCTATTTTTGTCGGCGTTAGCGAACCCCTCTCCTCCACCCCCGTCATTACTCCCCCTCTTATCCACCTCCACCACCACCACCACCCCTCTCAACCACCACCCCTCTCCTACACCATCACCAGGTTGTGGCGTGTTTTACTATTAAACATACATAGAAACAAATAAACAAACCAACAAATTAAACAACAAGTAAACAACAATTACAAAATAAAATTTAAAAATAAAAAATAATAATTTTAAAAAATTAAAAATTTAAAAAATTAAAAAATTAAAAAAAATTAAAATCAAATTACGTAACTAGTTAATAAAAATTAATTAAAATTAAAAATTAAAATTTAAAAATAAAAGTTAAAAATTTAAAAAATTAAAATCAAATTACGTAATTAAAGTAAAATAATAATGATAATTATTAAAAATTTAAAAATTTAAAATTTAAACTAATCAAAAATCAAAATCAAACAAATAATCAAATTACATAACTAGTCAATAAAAATTAATTAAAAACAACAAACAAATAAAAACGAATTAAAAAACTCATTAAAATCTCATTAAAATTACGTAACTAAGTCACCGATGATGATTACGTCACAAGGTCACCGCTGGTGATTACGTCACAAGGTCACCGGTGGTGACCTACTGACCCCCACCCTCACCCACCCACCTCACCCACCCTCACCCACCCACTCACCCACCCTCACCCAGGTGGGTGAGTATTTTACTATATAACATGTCTAACCCTCCACATCCGCATCCCCCACCCTCACCCACCTTCACCCAGGATTTGGAGTATTTTACTATATCTCATTGTCCCAGGCTCCACATCCGCATCACCCACTCACCCAGGTGGGTGACTATTTTACTATATCTCGTTGTCCCTGCGGCTCCTCCGCATCCCGAGTATTTTCCTATATATCCTTTGCTCCGCATCCGCATCCGCATCCACATCCTCACCGATACTACTCAAAAGGGACCTAATATACTACTCCTAAATTTTAATAGTGTAGTTGATAATTTTAGTTGATCTGAATTTTTTTTTATTGATTGTCATATGGTTATGTTTACTATGTTTAATATTGTTTATAGACCTATATAATAATTGTAAGAAATGTTTGCCGTATAAATTTGTCATATTGCACTAAACATTTTAAAGTTAGTATTAGTAATAATATAGTATAGGAAAATTGAAGAAACGTTTTCGATATACAGCGTAGGTGGGCTTGCCAAACATGTGACAATTCAACCATGTTAGGGGGATGAAACTAGATCAAAGAGGATGAAATAACAATAAAGGCACATCTGCGCGTCAAGGTGGCCGCCCGTTTTAATAGCAGAGACATGCCTTTAGGGAAAGACAACCGCCCTCCATGGACAATCCAACTAGCATCTTCAGTCAATAATTATGCATCGTCGCACTTTAGTGATCAGGTGACAAATGATTTTTTTAAACAAACAGCGGTCATTCCGGAGCTAAGTTTGTCGAAGTGTACATCTATCAAAGCGGTATTAGTGGTGATTACTCAGCTATGGGCCCTTTCGTAACCTCGCAGAAAGGGTTTAGGACATTAGTTTCTGGTGAGTTTATGTTTATGTGAGTTTGGAAATGTGAAATTAGGACATGTTGAGCAAGAGTTCACACAATACATGATCACATGATATTGGAGAGGTGTGATCATTTTGATGTACCTGCCAGCAAAGAAACGTAAAGGTTATGTTTGTGTTGATAATGCAATAAAAACAATAGTTTATCTTTACAAACCTGAAGACCCATTCACATTTTGGAATGCATTTCGCATGTTTTGAACCTTAACGTTGTTTAACTACTGTTGTTTTATTTGTTTTAGACATGAACATTTATTATACTTTTCAGGCTAAAGGAGTAAGTTTGTTATAATTTTTACTTTTTCGAATCAGATGCTACTACAAAGTTTAATAAATCTTTTAATGGTTTGCTAGGTTTAACAAATTCATTTTATTCACAATTATTATGCGTAAAAAAGTAAACAAAACCATAGTAACAGTCAATTAAAAAAAATCTAATCAACTAAAATCATCGTATATACCAGGGGTCTCCAAACTACGGCCCGCGGGCCGGATGCGGCCCTCGAAGTCCTCTCATCCGGCCCGCGGAGATCTTTTGTCCAAGGAAAAATCGTTTGTTGGTGATGGCTGAGGAACTTTGCCCAGAAAAATCAAAGACATGCCTGGAAGAAACTGGCCCCCGAACTGAAATTTGATAGTTAATGCGGCCCTCTGACTGAAAAGTTTTGGAGACCCCTGGTTTATACTATTAAAATTTCGCTGTGAAATATTTTGTCTAAGATATTTTGTCTGATATCATTTGTCCATAATATCATTTGCCCTGATATATTTTGTCCTTGTATCTTTTGTCCGTGAGATCATTTGTCCTTGAGAATATTTGCCCTGAGATCATTTGTCCTGAGATCATTTGTCCGTGAGATATTTTGTCTAAGATATTTTGTCTGAGATCATTTGTCCTGAGATTATTTGTCATGGAACCATATATATATATATATATATATATATATATATATATATATATATATATATATATATATATATATATATATATATATATATATATGTATATATATATATATATATATGTATATATATATATATATATATATTATTTATATATATATATATACATATAATTTATTGCGTTTTAAATACATAAACCTTCTCTATTGCACATCCTTAAAAAGACGACAATGATTTATTATTTAGAACACACTGTCATCGATATGAGACTATGAATTCTATTCGCTAAAATTAAATACCTGCACCGAATAAAGGTAAAGCTATTGTTGTTAATCCCATCTCATCAGCCTTTTCCAATATTTCATACACTCCAACGTCCCAACAATGGTCATATCGATTCAAATTCAATAGAAACAATTGCAAGCACTTTAATTTCCAGTTTTTGCACGGCATTGCAATAAATCCCCTTTGTCGCATGTCATTTCCTAAACAAGAGTGATATATTGGTATTATTTTTTTTAATTTAAGAAAGGCGTAGTTTTGTCTTATTTAATTACATAATAAAAGTGCTAAATTCTAGAATGAATGCTGTTAAGAAATGTAATGTCTATATTTTTATAAGCAAAACTTTAAATCTGTTTAGTTTGAAAACAAGATAAAATCAAATGAAAACTGAACTTAAAATCAGTTATCATAATGAGTTATAAAAATTGACTTTCAAGGCTGTTTAACCTAAAAAAAAGTTCACGGGGATAATAAAGTAATACTAAAATAATTTTCTGTTTACTTGGACCTAGTTTCGATAACATCTCAGTAAGTATGCGTTTAAAAGATTAATAGCGCAAATACAATAATTCAGACAATTTTTTTTAAAAATACCTTTCTTTTTGCATTCCTTAACAAACTCAGAGCCACACATCTCTACCACTTTTTTGCAAAGCAGCCCTGTAAAAGTTTTTAAATATATGTTTTGGTACAACATCTAAGCAACACATTGAACGATAATTCGTATTTATTAATATATCAATTCCTCCGATCATGCCCAGGACACATTGGGCAGTTGAAGTAGAGTTCATCTGTTTCAATAACCTCGGTATTTGAAGGGATATAACGGTCTGCGCTATGCGTAGCCGCCTTTACCTTCCCTAACGCGAGTCAGGTACCCTTAGAACTGGGAGGACAGAGACGTAATGACGTCACTAGTCCGAACCAGTGGCGTAACTAGGATTTTCGGGACCCTATGCACAAATTATCAATGGGCCCCTTCGTGAGACGTTAGGCTACAACTGAGTTAAACATGGGCAGCGGATACATTTATTGCTACCAGTGTTTCTACCAGTGTGGGGGGGGGGAGGCACTTGACATTTTCGGGGGTAGGGGGGGGACGGACTAAAGTTTTCGAAGGTTACGGGGAGATGGGACACTGTTAAAAGTATATATTTTCTATATAAATTCCATTTAGTTAGGGGAGGGGGGATTATACTCTCTTCGGGGGGGGGGGGGCTTTGTCCCCCTCCCCCTCCCCGAAAAGATACCTGGAAGAATCAATGATTGCTACTTACGATAGAGGTATTTTAAATAATGTAAAGTTTTGTATTTCATACGCCCTGATTGTGTATTTATGCAGTGCTGTAATATTGTGTACTGTACCATAATGTTAAATTTATTGGGCCACAAGGCAAAGTTGCGGTCCACACAGGGTAACACTATTTAGTCGTGGCACCATGACAAAAAATGTAAAATGTTTTATCCAGTTAAAATACTAAAAGATTAAGAAGAGAGGGGTGACAGCCCAATGAAAATGCAAAATTGTTGGGGGGGGGGGGGGAGGTTGGGGGAGTTACACCTTCAGTAAACTTTCAGGACAGCCGACCTTGTGACCACTAACCAAGCACATTTTTAAAAACAATTGTATCATAATTTATTTAGATTTGATTTATTTTTCATGCTTTTTAGTTTGCAAAATTATTAATGAGCTTCTTGAGATCTAATTTAGCTGGCCAAGTTACTGACCCAAAAGACATATTTCCACTTTGTTTCATAACTTCGTCCTAATATGCAAATAATCAGATTTAAAAATCCATCATTGACATCAAACTCTCCATTATAACCATCGAATGTTAAATAAGTATATTACGGAACTGGCATACCCGTCCGCATTGTTGCAACCTAGTCGTACATATAAGGGAGACAGCAGGGAGATGCAGGTTTTTTGGTGGTGGGGGGGTGGGGGGCGGGGGTGGGGGGTTGGGAGTTTCCCACTCAGTTGAGGTTTTTAGCGATACGTGAAAGTATACGGGTGCTGGATGTTGTATCTCACATTCAAATGTTATAGGCTGATTCACTGCATTGTTTACCAAAACTGCGGCAGCGCTTGTGGTCTTATTAATACGGGGTGGTCACTTATCGACGCCTACCCCGCCCCGCCCCCCCCAAATCAGCGAATGTGGTGTTATTAATATGGGGTGGGCCCTGTTCGACGCCAACCCTCCTTCACGTTCAGCGCCTATGGTGTTATTAATACGAGTGGGGCATGTACGTCTGTGGTGTTATTAACATGGGTGGGCCCTATTCGACGCCACCCCTCCCCCACATTCAGCGCCTGTGATGTTATTAATACTAGTGGGCCTATTTAACGCCCCACCACACACACACACTGGATTCCACTGCCTGTACCAGGGGTCGGCAACCTTTTGAGACGAAAGAGCCAAAAGTTACAATTTTCAACAATACCCGGTTTTTAAAGAGCCCCAAATTTTTATATGTCAATACCTTATTTGTTTAGTATTATATATATATATATATATATATATATATATATATATATATATATATATATATATATATATATATATATATATATATATATATAAAATCCTAAACAAATATCATACTATATAGATCTACATATAATTTAAAATAAATAGCTTTGAATATATGAAATAATGTCATTAGAATTTGTGTTGAGAGGATCTACCATGAAAGTCAGAGTACTTGCATTTGTTTTGAATAGCTCAAATCTCTCCGTGAAAACATCCTTCATTGACACGTTTTTATTAACTCAGCTTCGCGTTTGTGTGTTTGTTGTTAAAATTGACATCGAAAATTAGCCCACTTCTGATTGTTCTATAGTTCTGAAATTTGGCATGCAGGCTACTTTCGCCTAACAATTTCAGATGCAATCATAAAAACTAGCAATTAGAGACCGTAATTAGCTTAATTTAATTACGCCCTAAGGACCATAAAATTGAGGACATGATTTCTAAAGATACCGACTAGACTGGAGGCCTATTGACACAGTTACTTCGGCCCCAATCGATGTGAGCGCGCTGGCCGTGATCGTATAGTGGTTAGTACTTCGCGTTGTGGCCGCGACAACCCAGGTTCGAATCCTGGTCGCTCAATATTTTTAGTCCGTGTATTTATAAACACTTAGTCAAGTCATACTTAATCAAGTCATTAGATAAAGTAGAAAATAAACTATATAAAAAACTTTTTTAGAAACCACGTTTTTCATGTGTAGCAACGGACTAAAAAGGAGAAAATAAAATACTTAAAAAAAACTTTAAAAAACCACGTTTTTCTTGTGGACTAAAAAGTAGAAAATAACTATTTACATACATTTGATGACAAAAAACGTGGGTCGGGCAGATGGGTCGGGAAATTTGATGGTGAACGTACCCACGTTTTTTGTCATCAAATGTATGTAAATAGTTATTTTCTACTTTTTAGTCCACAAGAAAAACGTGGTTTTTTAAAAAGTTTTTTTAAAGTATTTTATTTTGTTTATAGTAATGCTGAAGTGATTGAATAGTAGCATTGGTTCCTAAACGATATTTTTTAAATATTTTTCGTAACTAAGTAATTTACTGCTCACCTTGTATTCAAAAAAAATAAATAAAAAGCAAGACGTAGGCCTACACTGGGTTTTCCTTTCAGTTTTACGCTTAGCTGGATTAGTTTCCATGAACTTGAATGTTTCAATTCGGAATGTACAATGTAATAGGAAGTACACTGAGATACGGAGTAACTAAATATTCTAATATAATAGTGAATGTTTATTGTTTATATCTATTGTTATATCCTTTATTAACGGGTGATGCAGACTTATATTTTAATGAGTTTTGAAAATAACATAAAATGCTTATTAATATTTGTGCAAGGAGCTAAAGAGCCGCAACTGGACACCAAAAGAGCCGCTTGGGGCTCTCGAGCTGCAGGTTGCCGACCCCTGGCCTATACGATATGAAAGGACTTGGGGCCTTTTTGAAATTTTATCATTTCTACTGTAGAAAAAAAAGAACATTTCCAAAAAGGAAAATCCCCCGCCCCTCCAAAGTGCCTTAGGTCTCTATGCCTTTCTTATCCTAGCTTTACGGTAGCTACACCACTGGTCCGAACCGAGATCCAATCTCAAGACCTTCGAACTAGCAGTCAGGTGCTCTATCATTCGACCACACTGTCCTTATTAATACATAGTCTACTTAAATACCTGAATTTTGAAAGTCCATGTTTTCAGAAACTGAACACATTATAGCATCGCAAGATTCTCGTGTAAGGTCACCCAGTTTTAAGGTCAGAGTAACATTTCCATGCTGATAAGTTGAGTTTTCAGTGGTCTTGGGTTCATTGCTTTTACCTTAAAAGCAGAATTTTTTAAAAAATCATAATTATTTAAATAATATATACAGGTTTGAATGCAGTTTTCGGGTTAGAAGAAGCGTAAGTACACACAAACCAGCCATCTTCTCAGTATATAGTATATATATATATATATATATATATATATATATATATATATATATATATATATATATATATATATATATATATGTATATATGTATATATATATATATATGTATATATATATATATATATATATATATGTATATATATATATGCGTATACGTGTGTTTAATTAAAAAAATTCTTCTTTGGTTTAAACTTTTTTGATAAAACGAGTAGCTATTTTTGCTTTAATACGCAGACTAACTCTTATGATTCAGACATCGTTAATACCATTTAATTTTAATAAATGGTGTTTAAATGTATGAGCAAAAAAGGCAGAAAACATTGGCGAACATTGCGCTGGTAATTATAATCCTTTTTAATAAAAGTTCTTCAAACCTTCTGACGTGGGATGCATTATAATTCGACACATTGCTGTCAACCCGCTGTTTTTTTTCTGAGTTATAAAAATGCTCAGATGAGCAAATTATTTATTTAGCTCCATCTCAAAACTTGTAGTATTTAACATAAACATTTAACATAAGCAGGGTTTCTTTCAGACATTTTTCTTAGGAGGGATGCGGGCACTTGAAAATTCCGAAGTAAAGTGGCCGAAACTGATTAATGTTACGGGTCAGTTGTAGGTTAGATATATATAGGTTAGAATAATCTAGAATCAGGGGAGAGTGCGTGTGTGAGTTGAGTTTACCCTAGAGTTTTGTTAACCCTGGTGTGTTTATGGATTGTTACCCCAAATTCGAATGCGGTATAAAAGCTGGAGTAAACGGTTCAAAGGGGTTAGGGGTAGCAGTTAGTTCAAGAGCGACCCTGTAACGTTAAACGTGAAACTAAATAAAAGTATACTATATGTGTCACGGATAGTTGTTGAGTTGAATTTAACCCGGACGTAACAATTAAGGTTTATATGATCTATTTAAGATATTTATTTTCCCTGAGTAACCCGGGGAGTTGGTTGACGTGCTCCGAGTGCAGTACTCTTCCCCCTCCGGACAGATGCGTGATCAAAAGTTTCCCACTCCAACAGCATATATAATAATATGTGTCAGCCATGAATTTGATAGATATTTTCATTAACAAATTGTTTTATACAAAAAGGCGCCTTAGTTAAATAAGTACCTATGACGTGACAAACACCTACAACAAGTTATGAGCCTGCAGTCAACAGGAAGAAACGCCGACGACACGAGAGGCGCTTTCATTTTACCTGTATTTTTTGTTGTTTATTACATACGGCTGTAGTTTGCTTTAATGATTTATATTAGCTGATACCTACCGAAACCAATATAGTTAAAAATTTGTGTCAACGTGCTTTCTATTTTCAATCCTTTTGCGTACTCCTAAAAACAAATGATTCTGCATTAGTATGTCATTGTTTCATTTTTAATATAAGACTATATTAGTTAAAGGAACAGGACATTACCTCCCCCGTCAATTAACCCCCGGATATGTCACTCCGGTATTTACCCCCCCCCCTCTCTCGGAGCAATTACCCTCTGTTAATTACAACCCCCCGACATTAAACCCCGCTTAAAAAAAACAGCAGTAGGACACTACCCCCCTTTCCCCGCGGTCAATTAAGGTCATTATATGTATAGGAGATTGAGAATGTCACTGCATATGTAGGCTTTTTTCACTTGATTTAATGTGAAGGAGTGGAGTTTAAAAGCGAATGACGAAAATGTAAGTCTTAAATGGTTTGCCGCTGTTTATATAGTCTTTTTATGTCCAGTCGGTTTTAACTTTTGAAGTGCATATAATTCTAATTTTGGGGAGTGGACTTGTGTGGCAGACGGATGAAATGTGTTACACCCTAAACGTGTTGCCACTGCTCTTAGGGCTTGCGTTTGATGTCCGTCGGTTTCTCTTTTGAGTTGACTGTCGTGCCATCCACGGTGTCAAACAAAAGGCGGCTTCTCTTTTGTTGTCTACTTCATAGTCTGTTATTACCGCGGTGTCGGGTATATATTTTGGGTAGACTCGTTGGACGCATTAGTTTATAGATGCAAGTCATCTGAAATATTTGATCTGTCTTTGATTCAAAATAAGAGAAACTAGATTTTGTGCTATTCTTATTTAAGCGTGGATAAAGTTCTTAGTATTCGTGGGAATCAACAAGTGATGCCCAAATGAATATGTTTATGTTTAACAAAAAGATTAAACAGGAGGTGTGGTTATGCATGTGAAAAGCGTCGAGGAAATGGAACAAAAATTTCTGAATGCAAAGCAAAGATTAAAATTAAAAACGACACTGTTGTTGGATTTCTGCATGAACACACACATGCATCAGTTGTAACACAATTTGAAGTTCTTCAACTTCGACACACTATTAAATAAACCATGAGTGATCTCCCCTAAACTTTCTCGAATATTCTTATATAACACTACGAGGGATGGCAACTCGGAATATAGACATGATTTTTAATTACATAAACTTTTAAAAATAGAATCTCGTAGAAAAAAGAATAATAGTACTTTATAAATTTACATGCGTTTTTTTAGAAATCGGAAATAGCGTAAATTACTACTTCCGGTCAACGTAAGTTACTCAAAATTTGATAGAAGGTAGAAGATTAGATTTTTTACTTCCAAGTGAAATTTCATTTATCTATCTGAAATAGTACTCAAGTTATAGGCTTTTGAAAAATTCAAAGTAGAAAAAGTACCACTTCCGGTTATCGGAAATCGCTCAAAAGTTGATACGGATCTACGATTTTGATATTATACTTATAAATTAAATTTCATCAACCTAGCTGTAACGGTACTCAAGTTATCGTGTTTACACACTCTATACACACACACACAGACAGGCACACAGACTTACGGACAAGATTGCAAAACTATGTTTTTCCGACTCAGGGAGGTGCAAAACGTCGAGATTTGCAAAAATCACGATTTTTTTTTTTGCACGATTACAATACTTTCTCTATACTTCGTATATACGAGAAACTAAAAAGGGCACTGGAAACAGAGGACAAACCCCAACAGATTCCTGGCAGAGAGATGCAAAATCTAAGTGAAGCAGCGTCTGTGCAGACGGTTCCTATTCCACTTCTGCGGCGTCTTATTCGAAAACAGCGACGAGCTAATCAGGTTCAACATCCTCTTCCAACCGATCGCTCTACCATTGAAATGCCGGAGGAATACAAGAAACATTCTAGTGGTGAGAATTTCCTATTGATTGATAGTGGTGTTGGCGACAAAAACAGAATTTCAATATTTGACACTAATGAATCATCCACTTTATAAGAGCTTACAATATTCAAATTAAATTGTTTGTAAGTTGTCCTCCATTTTCTAATTCAGAAATGTACTATTTTATGTTGTCCGTTTTTTTAAATTTTATTTGTGTAAGTTCATTTAGATTTTGTTGTATATATTTTTGAATGTTTGTAAGTTTTCCTTTTTTTTTTTTTAATTTCAGAAAATGAAAATTGAAAAATATATATTTTGTGTTGCTTATTTAAACTTTACTAATGTTTGTACTTTTTGATTTTACTATATATATATATATATATATATATATATATATATATATATATATATATATATATATATATATATATATATATATATATATATATATATATATATATATATATATATATATATATAGTTTAGTGGTGGTTCGGTGGAAAGGGGGGTAATTACATAAGGGGGGGGGGAATTGACATAGGGGTAATTGACACGGGGGGTAATTGCTCCAGGCGGTAAATTGAGGAGGGGTAATGTCCTGTAGACATTAGTTAATCCGTCTAATTGCATTTTAAAATTTTCAATTACTACGTAAACTTGCTCCACCTTTACCAATTTATACATGTTAAACAAAAAAAAAATTACCTGGAGAGAGCCAGCGTCTGAATGATGAACTACAATATATATATCATGTAGATATTTTGGATTTGTCTTTGAAAATTTTTTGATAGCTTCCACAATTATACGCTTTGATTCCACTGTAAAGTAAAATGTGTAAAATGACAGCATATAATTTATGTCAAACATATAATTTATTAATGATAAAAATGTTTATAAAAATATGTATATATATATATATATTTATATGTCTATATGTATATATATATATATATATATATATATATATATATATATATATATATATATATATATATATATATATATATATATATATATGATGCTTTACATACTCATTTTAATCTGTTTTGTTCGGAACAAATATATATGCCTTACTTGCTGGATATGCTAGGTTTCCAGTTCCGATACAGGGCAGAGACAGTGAGCTATATTGGCTGGATTCTGCCTCTGACAAGATTTCTATTAGCATGTTTTTTACCTGTTGATCATTTTAAGTAATAGAATTTCAAACTTTAATAATGCATAATAATAATGCTGTCTGACAAACCTTTATGGTTTTATTTGTTACCGTATTTAAAATAGTATTACTCTTAAAGACTTATTCTAAGTAGTTTTATTAATTTATAGGTTACTGTGATAAATACAACTTTTTAATTTAACATACAGTTTCGAGATCTGTGTCAGTGTAGTGGGGCAAACATGTAAAATACAATGTTTTACAGCTCAGGTTTCCATTGATGCATCTTGCAAAATTATAATCTTTTAATCCTTTGGGATGCCTAAAATAATATAACAATAATTAATCAATTAAATTGTATTAAATTTGTAACCGACTAATTATCCTTATTAACATGGCCATTTTTAAATGTTGAATAGTTATTTGTTTCCATGTCATTTGCATCACCTATACAGATCTGTTTTAAAAGTAAAATGTATTTAGTTTTAGATTATTGTAAGAAGAATATTGCAATTTTCATTTTACGCAGCTTTAAGTGAACATTTACATGTTATAGGATTTTAATTCCTATCACTATCTAAGATTGAGTAATAATTTGTGATTGTTATACATCTTTAAATATTTTATTAATATTCCAAACCATACATTTAAACTTAGTCAAATGAATGATTGTAAAATAAAAACAAGAATAAGGATAAAAAATGTTTAAAGCTTAGCCAACTAAAAATCTTCAAAATTTAAAACATACGGTGGTCAACCTGTTTGTTCGTTTATATTTATGTTTATCCTTAAATTTAATGTTCCAAAATCTCCTAAATTTTAGTGTTTATAACGGGCCAAAAATTTGAAAATTCATAAAAAAACAGTTTGAAAATATACACTTACATGTTTTAGCTGGGCACCTCAAAATATGGTAAAAGATTTTGAATTCATTGTTTATTTGGCATAAAGTTTAATATTTTATGAATGGTGGAAATCCTACGAAGAGTTGACTTTTTCAAGATTTTCAAATTTACTAAGATTTTACTAACAAATTTTTAATGGAAACACATATGCGGATATTCCTTAGAATAGCTATAGATAGTTAATTGTTTCTTAACGAGTATTAAAAATGGTTTTTTTTTCACTGGAGTCTACCCATTTAATTCTCACTAGTTCAAATTTTCAGAAAGTGTTAAATACAAAAATTATTTTTCAATGACTGGAAGTCCCTTAAATATTTTTAATTTCAATATAATCAGATTATTAAGCTAAACCATTTGACTTGTAAATTTTGGTTAATAATCAATGTTTAAATTTGCGCTGAATTGTTTCATTGTTATAAATACTACATATAAAATAAATTCAAAGCATTTTTATTTTATAATATCTAAAATTTTAATTTTCCATATACTATATTGTTGTAATGTATTAATTTATTACAGGTAAATGCAGTTAAAAACATTTTGGGGGCAAAAATGAATTATGGTAATGATAAGGAACATCAAGCGAGCCATAGACACATTTTCACGGATTTTGTCTTTCGTTATATGAGTTGCCAAACGATTTCAAACAATTAATTGATGCCCTAAATCAGTTTGATCCTTAAATTTAGTATTTTTTTGCAACAGAATAGATGAAATAATTTGATTTAAAAAGTTAGTAAATGTAAAGCGCTTCTAGCGGCTTCAATACCTCTTAGCTATAAAACTCGTTTTTCTATACATTAAAAAGAGAAGTCGTAGTATTGCTCAAAAGTTCATAGCTTAAAATGTTTAAATATATCCAGAAAAAGAACGATATAAAAATACATATGCACATGGTTTTGTACATACATACATACACGCTACTGCCTCGACTACTTGGTATTATCATCTCACGATTACTCACCTCACGATAAATCTCAACTGTCGAAAACTCAACTATTGTCTGCTCAAAAACACTTTTCAATTACACTCAACGAACAACTCGACTACTCTATATTCTCAACTCACGATAACTGAACTCTCGAATTCTCATATCTTGACTACTACACCTCCATCCTATCGCCATAACGTTTGAGAGGTTATTAAGTACACATCCGCCATTAAAAAACTAAATATTGGAGGGCAGCGACAATTTGATACCTACGCTTTTTTTTAAAACGGCACTCCCCTACAATAGTTTTGGCTACTACATTTGAATAAACCGAACCGGGTGTATATAGGTGGCTTTCAGCAGCGCTCCCAATGCTCCTGAAACCCCAGCGTTCGCTGAGGATCGGTCTACAAATTATATATCTAGTGTTTTTGGACATGAAAACGGGATAATGCTTATTCATTCAGAATATACAATGCAAATAAAACTAGAGCATTTGAAATGACAATTGATATAGGCCTAAATATAATATAAATTATTGAATACTTCACCAACAAAAAGTAAAAGTAAGGTAATCTTTTAGACCATAAGGCTGCTAATGTTGAATTTTTGCTTCTTTGATAAGTTCTATAGAATATTTGTGTGATTAGCTTTGTGACTACCTTTTGATACGTACCCAAATTTCAAGAATATTCTAGGGTCTCTAAACTGTGGATCGAACTAAACTTATTAAAGGCGACCAAACGGGTTTACAGTGTTAGTGATACACTCGGTTCTAAATATCTAATGATTATATATTTTAAAGATAAATACACTAAATTTAAAGTGCCATTCTAGACACTTTTTGCTGCCACAAATAATATATAATTTGTAATTACTATTAATTCACACATCTTTAATTTTACATTTAAGCTTTAATTTAAGTTTGGAATGTTTACTTTTATTTGTCCATTATATAATTTGTAATATAATAATTGACTTTTTAAAATGTGATTTAAAGAATGCCAATGTAACGATATCAAGCTATAACCAAAAGAGTGTTTGCCATTGTACAATACCAATGCAAATAATGTAGTAGCAATGCAGAACTTTTAATGCCTAATTGAAAACTTACATTTTTTTTAGTTCATCCTGTATCACCTTTCCTCCGGTTTTCAATATTGTGCTAGCAACTATACCTTTACTTAAGTCTAAAGACTTGTCTGCAGGTACAACTACTGCATCTGTCTGAAAATATAAAATGTTGTAGTAAATATTCGGTTGTAGCTATATAAAACATTTGAGAATGTAGAAATTCATACATATCATAACATCTATAAAATAATTTATAGATAGTAAATGAGGTATCAAGAATATACAATATTTGTCTTAAAACATGCATATTAACAAATATTAAAAATCTTTTTTTTTTTTTACTTTTTTTACAATGCAACAATAAGTAAACCTTATGAGAGTAAATGATTTCATACTTTGATATTTTAATAAAGATATACCTTTTGTTTTGTTATGTCGCCGTTGATTACTTTAACCTGCACGTTCCCAAAGCTACTACAATTTAGGGTAGAGTACATTGGAGACGACTGTTGTGTTGTGCTCTTAGCGCCACCTGTCGACAAGATATAAAAGTTCCTTTTATATTCACACGAAATTTTATTCATTCTAATATGCCTTTTTTTCGATAATACACAGTTCTGCTACTTTGCGTAGGACGGCTTTCGGGCCTAGGGCTAGAGAAAGCAACCCATCAAAGTGAGACTCAAACATTAAGCAACTGCTAGTTTCAGTAGCTCGTTAAGGACGATTATCCTGTTCCCCCACCCACTCGTGAAAGCAGCCGTCCGTGACGACATTTTACAGACGACAATTAAAAGATCAAGCATAACTTTTAATTACCTCCCCTTAGTTTCGAACTGTTTAAAAACTTATTTATCTGCCCCTAGTAACCGTAAACATTTGGGGTGAATCACAGCTCACCTGAAAGATGGGGATTGGGGTGGTAGCCATATGTCTACAAAACAAAAATGACTTTCTTTAAATATTTAATAACTAGACATATAGCCCGCTAAGGAGAAAATACAATTGGCGCATTGCTGGTAGTGCTTTTTTTTAAAACAAATATTTCTACCGCGATCTAATTCTAGATGTAAACCTAAACCTATGAACCGGAACCGGAAAGTGGAACCCAAATTAAACCGTAAACGTAAATTAAACAGGAAAGGGGCTTTAGACGGAATCAGAAATTAAACAGGCAATGGAAATATAACCTCAATTAAAATTTTAACTTTAACTACAACATTAACCGCAACTCGACTTTTATAAATAGAAACGGACAGTTAACAGTAAGAATTTAAATAACACTGAAAATCGTAACGGAATTTGAATTTAAAATGAGCATGAAATTTAACCGAAACTTTAACCGAATCTGAAAGGGTAACAGAAACAGGAACTTATCTGAAACATGAACGGGTTCGGAGCGTCTGTTGGAACTGGAACTTATACTTCACTTAAACCTAAACCGAAGTCTAAAGCTAAACTTAAAACTTGGAAACGGAACGGGAAATTTAAGCGAAGCTTAAACGGAAATTAACATTGAATCGGATATTTAACATGAACCGAAAACCTAACCGTAAACGGATTATGAAATTGTAACGGATTAAAAAAAATATATGGGATCTCAAAATTCAACCTGAGCATGATCTGGAAATTTAAAACGAAATTAAACGGAATAGGATCTTAAGCGAATTTAAATTTTTAACCGGAACTGCCACTTTTACCGGAATCAATACTTTATTCTTAAACGGAAATTTACCAAGCCCAATAAGTTACCTCTAACAGGAAGTTTAACGAATCTGGAACACGAACCGGAACCCCAACTTCTACAGCAATTGTAACTTTAGTCTGAATCTGAAATTTAACCGGAACCGATATCTTATTGGATCCGATACATTAACTGACACAATAAGTATAACTGCAACATGAATTTTAACTTGATGGCAAAACTGATTACTGCTAACCCGAAAGTCTTTAAATTCCGATTCGATCTCTAGTATGTAGGTTGTCCCTGAGTCCACCCAGCTCTGAAGGGTGTGTGACTTACCTTAGGAAAACTATACGGCTGGTCGTAGTGATGATCCAATAAATGTTATCAAATTAATGTTAGGCCATTAAAATAGATGACCACAACTTTAGCAGCCAAATGTGTCCTGAACACATGAGGAAATACTAAAACTACCCGTTATATAAACCCCAACCGTAAAGCTAGCACTAATCCTAACCTTAATCTAAGTCCTACTAATTTACTTTACGTTTAGATCATTATATTAGTCATATTAACTTTTATGGTAATCAAAATGAAACAGGAGTGATCTCCCCTAAACTTTCTCGAATATTCTAATATAGTACTACGGAGGATGGCAACTAATAGACATGCTTTTCAATCTGTTTTTTACATACTACTTCTTCTTCTTCGTTCTTAATTATTAGTGTTGAAGGATTTGCTTCCATAGCCTTTGTCCAACCAAGAACAAACTACAAGGCAGCAGTTGTTTAATTTTGGATGGTTTGAACTCGAGACTTTTCGGTTTAGCAACCATGAGCTTTACCGACTCGACCACGCCGATTTTACATACTTAAACTTTTTAAAATAGAATATAATCTCGTTGATAAATAATTGTGCACCGACTGAACTGCAACAAAGCATGATTTATAGTGCGGAGCATTAGACTTTATAAATTCGTATTTGTTTTTTTTTTTTGAGAAATCAGCAATAGCGTAAAGTATTCCTGGAAATGACGCAAAATTTTACAGAAAACATAGAATTAGATCTTCTACATATATATGAAATTTCATTTATCAGAAACAGTACTAAAAATATATGCTTTTAAAAAAAATGAAATTAGAATAAGTTCCACTTCTGGTTACCTGAAATAGTCAAAAATTGATACAGAACTAAAGAAATATATACTTGATGTAATACTTACATATGAAATTTCATCAACCTGGCTGTAACACACTCAGACATACACTCAGACAAACAGGCAGACACACACACACACATAAAGACATACAGACAAGATTTCCAAATCATGTTTTTCAGACTAAGCTAGGCCTAAAACTTTGAGTATTTTGCACGATTAAAATACTTCCTATATAGGCCTATTCCTTATACGATATAGTAAAAAATTATGCTGTAAATGTTGTTTCTTTTATCAAGGAAGTCATTGTATTTTTTTTAGACTATCATATAGGCCTACAGCATTCAATTTTTTAATTATATTTTTGATTTATCCATCAGTGACGTCTACCTTTGTCTTTAGACCAGATTATTTACTCGGAAACAAAATAAAACCGGAAAAAAAAATTAGTCTGAAAAGTGACATTTACCTGAGATCAGACTTTTAATAGAACAGGAAATTTAAACTAAAATTACAATTGAACTAAATCGGACTTTAACTGCAAAGGCAAATTAAATCAGATACGGAATCTTAAATAGAACCAGAAACGAAACTATAACCAGAACTGGAACTTATACATCCACGTTAACATAAAACTAAATCGGCAACTAACTCTCGTAACTGGAATAGGAAACTTAATTTGAACCGAAACTTTGTTCAGAATTTCAAACCGGAAATAAACCTCAATTTTAACAGAAAATTGAAATGAAACAAAATGACCTTTTTTCTGAACAGAGGTTAAACCCAGACACTGCACCAATATTTTATCTGGTAACACGTTTTTACTCCAAAATATTACACCTCAATCTTGTAAAAAAAAAAAAAAAAAAAAAAAAAAAGATGAACCACATACGGAAACAACACCGTAACGGAACTTTACTTGGATCCTGGCATATAACGGAAACGGGAAATTTAACAGGAACCGGATATTTAACATAAACAGAAATGTAATCGGAGTAGAAACTTAATCGGAAACCGTCGATATTACCCGAACTTGTACTTTAATCGGAAACGGAAATTTACACGCAAACGGATTTTTAACTGGAAACTGAAATTTAATCGGAGCCGAAACTATGAACACAATTTCAACAGCAAATTTAAACGAAGCCAGAAATTAAGCATACAAATAAAAAATAAATGAAGACATACATTTTAACCGTAACTAGAACCTCAAATGTAGTTGAAAATGGAAAGATAACCGAATGAAATTTTGTTTGTCTTTAGAATTAGATATTAAACCAGTCAGTACTATATTACTTAATCTGATGTAACGTCTTTATTGTAGATTCATCATAAATGTCGTCGTAGAATTTACATCTAAAACTTGCAATCGAAAATTGAGGCACAAAGTGAAGCAACACCGGAACTTTATTAATCCCGGTACTGAACTTTACCCGGAAACAGACATTTAACATGAAGCGAAACTTTTACAGGAACTGAATATGCAGGAACCTGAAATTTAACCGGAACCCCTATTTCAACATTAGCAGGTAATTAATAGGAATAATAACTTTAACCGGAATGTATGATGTTTTTTGGAACTTGAATTTTTACTAGAATTGAACATTTAAATGAAAAGATGTTTTCATCCGGAGACGGACATTTAACTGGAAACAGACATTCAACCAGAGCCGAAAGTTAAAATGAACGAATTTTAACCTTTACTTTATCCGGAACCAAAATTTTAATCGGATTAGAAACTTAACCGCCAATGACAATTTAATCAGAAACCGATATTAAATCGGAAACGAAATTAAACCTGAAGCGGAACTTTATCCTGAACCTGCAAATTTAACCAAAACAGAGGATTAAACAGAAAGGAAAATTTAACAGGAAACAAAATTTAGCCAATAACAGAGCTGTAAGAGCAACTCGGAATTTGTTTAAACGGAAAAGAAATTTAACCGCAGAAGGAATTTTAACTGGAAACGGAAATTAAACCGAAAACGAAACCTAACCGGAAACAGTAATTTAAACGGAGATGTGATGTTAACACAAACAAAATTGAACAACAAGAAAAGGAGCTTCAACCGGATCCGGAAAAATAATTGTACCGAAACTTAATCTGAAACGGAAATTTAACCCGGGCTTGAACCTTAACTGGAACTGGAAATGTAACCAAAATCGCAACATCTAAACGAACTATGTATAAACGGAAACGGAACTTAAACCGGAACTGGCTTTTTAACCTGACCTGAAATTTTGGCGGAAATAAATTTTGGTATGCAACAAAATTTAAATGGAAACTGAAATTTAACTGGAAACTGGAATTTAACAACAGCCGGAAATTTAACTGAATCCAAAAATTGTTTAATCTGATCTTTCTGATCTTTAACGGAGTTAGAAAACGACTGCTATCGTAACAAGAATCTAAACCCTAACCCTAATCCTGATACTAAAGCTTACTACATATTTTACTTTTATACATATTTCTAATATTTTACGACAAAATTAGACGTTTAATTTGTGTCTCTTTTAGCAATGACGTCATTATGTTTGTGTAACCTTAACGGCTTTCGATATTTAATTACTTTTTTAAAATTCCACAATCAGTTACGTCTACTTTTTTGTGTATAGACGCTAGATCATTTACATATTACTTACTAATACCTATTCGCTATACTTAGAACTACACCTGCCCGACCTTACAACGTTTACTTTCATTTGTTTTTTTTAATTAATTGACATCTACCTGAGTATAGACT